GAGAGAGAGAAGAGAGAGAGAGAGAGAGAGAGAGAGAGAGAAAGAGAGAGGAGAGAGAGTGAGAGAGAGAGAGAGAGAGAGAGAGAGAGAGAGAGAGAGGAGAGAGAGAGAGAGAGAGAGAGAGAGATGAGAGAGAGAGAGAGAGAGAGAGAGAGAGAGAGAGAGAGAGAGAGAGAGAGAGAGAGAGAGAGAGAAAGAAGAGAGGAAGAGCTAATGATAACCAAATAAACATATAAAGAAACCGGGAGAAAATAGACACACAGTAAAGAAAAGGAAAAGAAACAAAGAGCAATCAAAGTATAAGACAGAAAGAGGAAGAAATAGACAAAGACATAAAATGACGAACGGAAATAAGACAAATGTTCGTAAGAAAGGGAATATAAGAAAGACAAAGACAGAGACAAACAGGGAATAAGAAGGAAAGACAAAGAGACAAGCAGGAAATAAGAAGGAAAATACAAATGACAATGGCATCATGGAGCCTGCAGGTCAATTAGGAAAGTCGTGTATGCAAATTCAACGTCTCAGATTCCTCTCGGTTTCTGCAAGGAGTTTAGGGTCGCCTCGATGACCTAGTGTTTGTTAGAGGGTCAAAGTTCAAGACCTGACTCAGTGACTCGGTGTCTGTCGGAGGGTCAAAGTTCAAGATTCGCCCCAAAGTTCTAGAGTCCGTTAGAAGGTCAATATTTAAGATCTGACGCAATGACCCTGTGTCTGTTAAAGGGTCAGAGTTCAAGATCTGATTCGGCTTCTCTAGGTTTCTGCAATGGGTTATGGGTCGCCTTAGTGGCATAATGTTTTTAAGAGGGTCAAAGTTCAAGATTCACCTCGATGACCTAGAGTCTGTATAAGGGTCAGAGTTCACGATCCACCTCAATGACCTAGTCTGCGAAAGGGTCAGAGTTAAATATCTGCCCAATGACTGTCTGGCAAAGGGTCAAAGTTCAAGATTTGCCCCAATGACCCAGTCTGGTAAAGGATCAAAATTCAAGCCTCGCTCCAATGACCCAGTATCTGTTAAAAGGTCAAAATTTCAGACCTGATTTGAACCTCTTTTCTCTTGGCTTCTTTAAGAACAAAAGGCTCGCCCCAATGACCCAGTTTCTATCAATGGGTTAAAGTTCAAGAGAGTGAGAGAGTTCAAAACCTACCTCAATGACCTAGCGTCTATTAAAGGTCAAAGTTGAAATCCCGCCCCAGTGACCCAGTGTTTGTTACGGGGTCAAAGTTCAAGACCTGATTCGGAAGAGATTGTGGGCTGAGATGGTTGCTTTGGTTTTAACAAAGTGGTAAATCGTATACGGATTATACCCCATTCAGTTGATTATATTATTATCATCTTTATTCATTATCCATTATTATCAATCCATTTTTATCATTATCATTATTATCATCATCTTTATCATTATCATTATTATTATCATCTTTATTATTATCATTATCATTTAATCATTATTATATCATCTTTATTATTATTATGTATATTGTTATTATATCTTTATCATTATCTTTTATTTATTAATCATCTTTATCATTATCATTCATTATCATCTTTATCAATTACCAATTATCATCACTTTATCATTATTACCTATTATCATCAGATAATATACTGATTAATCGATTGATCATCTATCGTGTCAGTGTATTTATTTCCTCCATGTAAAATCAGTCTAATCTAAACTTCTATTTCTATACTTTGTTTGTCTACCTGGCTTATCTACCTGCCTGCTTGCCTGGACCTGTCTATCTATCTACCCATTTATATAATCTATTTAAAATGGGATACAGCCTTTATCTTTTTTTTATCTGTCTATATATCATTATATTTATCTTCGTATCGAATTATCCACTAATACATCTCATCTAATATGCTGTTACTATCCCATTTTTTATTTTTCGTCTGCAATTTTGGCCTTTCTGCCAATTAATCTTATCTATCCGAATTACTCATTTATACATCTAATCTCAAATATACTTCATGTTTAATTTTCCTTCCTCAATTTTGCCTTATTCTTTTTGCTTCTTCAATTTTCTCTCTCTATTTTCTTTGATTGCATTTCTTCTATTCTTACGACCTCCGGAAAGGACACGTTCTATTCTTGTTTGTTAACAGGAATTCTGCTTCGTTACGATTATTGTGATTGTTATTGCTAATGCAGCTTTGCAGTGTCCTGATGGTGTGTGAGATGGAGAGGAAGAGAGAGAAAGATAGAGAAGGGGAGAGAGAATTTAGAGGGAGAAACGGGAGAGAAAGAGGGAGAGGAAGGGGGATGAGGGAGTTGGCAGGGAGGGAAGGAAGGAGGGGAGGGAGAGGGAGATGGAAAGGAGGGGGGAGAGGGAGAGGGAGAGGGAGAGGGAAGGGAGAGGGAGAGGGGAGAGGGAGAGGGAGGGAAGAAGGGAGAGGGAGGGAAGGTCAGGAGGAGGGAAGGGAAGGAGGGAGGAAGGAAGGAGGGAGAGAAGGAAAGAGGGAGGGAAGGAGGAGGGAGAGGGAGGGAGAGGGAGAGGGAGAAGGGAGAGGGAGAGGGAGGAGGGAAGAGAGAGAAGAGAGAGGGAGGTGAGGGAGGGGAGAGGGAGGAGGGAGGGAGGGAGAGAGAGGAGGCGGAGAGGAGAGGGAGAGGGAGGAGGAGAGGGAAGAGGGAGGGAGGAGGAGGGGGAGGAGGGAGGGAGGCGGAGGGAGGGAGGGAGGGAGGGAGGGGGCAGCGAGAGAAGAGAAGGAGAGACAGAGAGAGAGAAGAAGAGAGAGAGAGAGAGAGAGAGAGAGAGAGCAGAGAGAAGAGAGAGGTGAGAGACGAGAGAGAGAGAGAGAGCAAGCGGCGAGAGAGAAAGAAAGAGAGAAAGAGAGAAAGAAGAGAGAGAGAGAAGAGAGAGAGGAGCAAGCAGAGAGAGAAAGAAAAGAGAAACAGACAAGCGAAAGAGAGGAGAGAGAGAAGAGCAAGCACGAGAAGATTGAGCCCGTCAGTGGAATAGGATTTGAATGAGTGCACGGGGGTGGAGGGGGTGAGGGGGTGGGCAGAAGGGAAGGGAGGAGGAAGAGGGTAAACGCAAACTCTTAATTGAATTCACACGTGGACGGTTCAAGCTCGCTGCAATTGTGGCCATAAGGTGAAAATTAAATGTGTATAAACGCTCTCTGTCGACTCTACGGCGTTCTCGAAATGGCTCGAAAATCCCCGTCTCGGCCATCACCTGTCTCGGGACCGTTGGGGCCTCGTCGGAGACGACCACCGATATTAGTGTCCTGTCTCCCTCGCCGTCGCCACGTCCCTGCCCTTCGCCACCCTCCCTCCCTTTCGTCCCCTCCACCTCACCTCGGCTACCGATGAACCGTCTCCTCCCTGAACGATATCTCTCTACCGAACCTCATCTATCCATAAAGTACTGGACCTTTCTCCTGGGGAACGCCCCCTGCTATATTCTCTCCCTCACCACGCCCTCCCTTCCGTCTCCCTTAGACACCCGTCTCCTACTTCTCTCCCTCACCCCTTCCCTCCTCCTCTCAACTCCTCTCGCATCACGCCCTCCCTCACCCCCGAGCTTCTCCACGAAACCGCAAACCTCTACTTCCTCTTTTCCTGCCTAAGAAGCCCCGATCTCCGTAACTGTCCCTCCCTTACCAACCCCCACCGACTCCCCGCCTCTCGTATTGGCTCTAGATCCGCATCTCGTCACCACAGCTCTCTTCAAGGTATAAGCTCCTGATATGAATATCTCCCTCCGCTCATCGCCTTGCGTGCGGGCTCCGCTTTCCGGCCCATACACTCCTCATCACTCTACCTCGACACACCGATCCCTCCTTCCTATATTACCCTCCCACTCTTCGCTCCGTCACGGCACCTCCTACTTCCGTCACTTCCTTCCGCCTTGCCTCTCTTCTCTTCGAACCCTGCAACCTCTTTCTTCTCTCCCTTACTCCTTCTTCCTCCTCTCTCGCCTCACCATTACACCTCTGCCCTCCCCCTACCTCCACCTCCCTTCAGCCCCCCACTTTCTCGTCCTTCCCCTCCTCAATGCCCTCCTCTCGTCCTATCTCTGAAAACTGACTTGAACTTGGCCCCAGTGGGTAATGAGATCCTGTCGGGTCGGGGAGGTCATTGGTGCGCGAGGTCAGAGGCGTCAAGGAGCAGGTCAATCGTCGACATGGGATGGGCATGCTGCGTAAGGGAACAATAAGGAATCGAGAGATTACGCTTTCCAAGCAAGCAGGACACGGTGATCGTGCTGCCAGGCGTCACGGGCTGTCTGCGTGTGGATGTGTTGTGGTATCTGTGGCCCGTGTTTGGATGTGTGGTTATTGTGGCTGGTGGGGTCTGTTGCGTGGTGGGACGTCTGGTGTGTGTGTGGAATGTGTGCGTGTGGAATGTGCCGTGGTTGGTATTTGCTGTGGATCTGGTGCCGTGTGGATGTGGCGTGTGGATTGCTGTGGTGTATGGCTGTGTGCGTGTGGACATTGTGTGATGTGGGATAAAAGCGTGTGCGTGTTCGGTTTGTGAGGGTGATGCGATATGGTTGTTTCTGCTGATCCTCATTGCGTGCTATTTGTATTTGGCTGATTAATGAGTGAGCGAGGTGAGAAAACTAAGAGTGAGTGAGCGAAGCGTAGCGAGATTGAGTAAGAGTGAGCAAGTGGGCGAGCGAGTGAGATGAATGACTATGTGTGTGTATGTATTAGTTTCCAAGTGTTTACGCATCCAAAATCATTTTCGTAGGCAAATTATGTTGACACAGAGATTGCACGTTGGCTCTGGCTATTATCTTTGCCTCAATCGTCAATTTTTCTATTTAACCCGAAATCAGTTTAAGATGCAAATTGCAAGACATCAAAGGATCTTGATAAGCATTGCATATGTTGCATTCGTGGAAGACTAATTGCAAGTATTTTTTTTCTACTTGAAACATCANGTGGTGTGTGTGTGTGTGTGTGTGTGTGTGTGTGTGTGTGTGTGTGTGTGTGTGTGTGTGTTGTGTGTGTGTGTTGTGTTGTTGTTGTGTGTGGTTGTGTGTGTTTTGTGTGTGCGTGTGCGTGTGTGTGTGTGTGTGTTGTGTGTGTGCGTGTGTGTATGCACATCTGTCAAGATGAATGTCTGAAGTTAACATTTTTATTTTTGTTTTGTTTTTCTTCGTCTCAGCTTATTCATCCCTACAGTCATCTTACAAATAATAAATGAGACAAAATAATCAACATAATTATCCCATATAAATAAAAGTTTGAACAAACCGTCGACTAAATGCGGAGAAACATGTGTTCTGTGATATAAAAATTACAACAGTTTGGATAAAATCATGCTTATAATACATGAATATATTCCAGTCATTTCACCATTTGAATATTAACAATAAGTATAATGTGTTACAATCATTAACCCTAATCAATAATCAGTGATCATATAAAAAATTGCATTAAATAAGATATTAAACAAAATCACAATATTTCATATCAAAGTGCCAATAAAATTGAAACTGAGCAAACCATTACCAAATGAATTCGATAATGAAATTGAATTCCTTAAACTATGTATATAGTTTTGAATATATTTGTCTTTTCTAACTAATAAACATCTAATACTCTTTGTTTTAAACTAAAATAAATAATCATATACTTATTATCAGATATTTTCAATTTCCAAACAGGGCTCTAAGTAATTACATTTCATCACATCAAGACCAGATGTTTCACCTGTTCTCATCACAGTATAAAAGACTTATTTTAATGGGAATTCTGTCAGGTTATACCAGGTCACGAGAAGTAGGGTCTTCGAAGATCAGGTCACCTCATTTGTCAAGGAGTTACACTGAAGAAAACGGAGAATGTGAAGTGACCTGAAATTAGTGCTCGTCAGGTCATGCTGGGGAGAGAGGAGATAGCGTTATCACCACAGGGCCGTGAGAGAGCAACCTGTGTTCATCAGCAGGACCAGGCTTTGTTTCGGAAGTCGGGGCAGCGGTGACGGGGGCTGATAAGAGGTTCACGACCTGGGTCAGTCAGTCACCAAGTCGAAAGCATTACCTACGGGAGGAAGCGAGCAGTGAAGACTGTGACATCACGTGACCTACAGTGAGACTTGGCAGAGACCAGTGCTACAGGATACACGGGAGAATGAGGAAGGGCTCGGCGACCTGTGACCTCCGGCCATCAGGTCACCAGCGGAGTGGGCGGATAGTGGCCCTCGCCCCAGGCCCGCGAGGTGGGGGGGTCGGGCCCCAGCAGGAGCGCCACGGACTCCCCCTCGCACGCCGGGCTCAGGTAGGCGAAGGTGTCCAGGTTGTCTTGGAACACCTGCGCCTCCGAGCTGGCCAGGAGAGTGGCCAGCTCGTAGTCGGACTGCAGCTGCGAGTCCCCCGCGGTCAGCTGGGACGTCTTGGAGAGCTGGGCCTCCTTCGGGCAGCGGTTGGGGCCGTCCAGGATGGTGGACAGGACCCACGAGCACGTGTCCTGCGGGGCGCTGCCGTCCAGGATGTCCTGCAGGGACCGGATGTAGGCGGAGGCGAGTCTCAGCGTGGCGATCTTGGTCATGTCGGAGGCGGCGCGGCGACTGCACACCCACGACGGCAACACGCCGCGAAGGCTCTCGAAGGCGGTGTTGATCTGCCGCATGCGGTAGCGCTCCCGGGCGTTGGCGGTCTTCCTGCGGTACCTGGACAGCGGCGCCGCACGCGGCTTGTGTCGCAGGCTCTCCCCGAAGCCCCAGTCGCTGTCGCAGAGGCGCCGGGCGTGAACCGACCGCGGCCGCAGCTGGTACTTCCCGCTGGACGCCGCGTCCGTCTTCACGTCGTCGTGAGCGTCGCTGTCCTGGTGGTCGTCGGTGTTGTTGTTGTTATCTGTGTTGTTGTTGTCGTCGACCGCCTGCCTCGCACTCTCGGCCGTCGGCACCGACTCTTCCGACTTCGCCATAACGAAGCGTCGCTCGTTCAAAACCGAAAATCAAACTCGTGTCCGTCGAATACTTCTCACTGAGTCCTTTTGCAAAAGTTCTTTCAGCTAAGTTTCCTTCGTTTTGTAACGGACTATCGATCACAAAATAATGCAAAACAGATTTTCCGTCTCTACTGCAACAGGTCCATCGGCGAGGAACGTCCCGAACTGCGCACCACCGACGAACACAAGCGGGCAAGGAAGAGGACGAGAAAGCGCGTGAATTTAGAGAGCGAAAGAGACGTCTGCAACGCACGTCTTCCCTCGGCGCCAGACGGCAGCACACTGAACCCTCCCGTCGCCTCTCGACCTCTCAGCTGATGCCCAGTACAACAACCACTGAAACTTCCACTCCTTATATGGAATATCATTTGTTCGGATTTTGCATTTTACCTTCGATATTTCTCGGGATTTTTGCATCCGTCGAGTCATTAATAGGCTGTAGAACACTTCTGCAACATTCGTTATCAACTGCGGGTCGCTTAGGCCTAGATTTGACGGCCGTTTGATAGCAGATTTGACCTGGTATTAAGAGGTCACTTCAGCCTTGACTCGGCGCGGATGAAAGCAATGCACCGTTCTTGCGCAACGGATGACTTTTCTTGAGGAATTCTGCTTTTTTCCCTCTCTCTCTCTCCTCCCTCTCTTTATTTTCTTCAACCTTTCATCCGCTGTTTAGCCAAGAGATCGCGACGCCCGGAGAAAGGGAAAAAGAGAAGAGCATCACCTCGGCGGGAGATTAGACGATCGAAAGCGCCGACAGAGGTTCGGATCCCACTGAGGAATGCGACGGCGGCGGCGGGCGGAGGAGGCTCCTTTCATACTAAAGAATACGCGTGTGATTATCGCCAGGAGCACCGCAGGGCACCGAAAGCAACGAAAGGATTCTTATTGCAATTAGGATAGTGAGAACTGTCAAAGAACATGAGGGAATTAGCTGACGAGAAGGACATTTTGAATGCGCTTGTTATTTTATATCTTCTTTTCCTCTATCTCTCTATCTCTCTTCTTTCTTTCTTC